CACTATCTCCAGGATATTTGGCACGTTGGACGCGGACCCAGATTTCGCCAAGGAACTGCTGCTAAATGTGCAACTCAAACCTTCCTTGAAGCAACGAATGTTGGATTACCTTCATGGCATCCCATTTTTCGATGAAATCACTGGTAAGCCTACCCCGGAATCTGACCGTGTACGGGTCAACTAATAGTCCAAGGAAATGTAAAAATAGATCTAACAGTTGTTCTTGTTATTTTCTATGTTGATACAGTTGTGAATAAAAGAGTTGTTCTCTACTGAAATGATGCCTTGGTTACTTCGTACTCCATTAACTTAGAGACACACCCCGCTCTCAACCAGTTCGTAGGTGTGCTCAATTAGTCCAGTCCGCTGAGTCAGAGATGTCCCGCTTTCGCGACTCCATAGTGGTGACAAGGGTGCTGCAGCCGTCAGCCGTCTACTGCTCAAGATCGTTTCCGGGCATCCACTCCGTTGGACCGCCTACCCGGGAACGTCCTCTTTACGCTTAACGCAGGGCGCTCAGTCGTTGTTTGGTGGAGCGGCGGGCGTAAATACGAATTGCAAATCATTTTTGTCGACCACACTCCCGCTCGTAAGAATATCTGTTCTATATTATTGCTTTTTTTATTAGCAGCATATACACTTGAAGGCAGTACATCTCACTAGGTGGGATGCGTTCAGTTCGTCGATGAATTCAACAGGTGAAATTGTTTTTCAGCGTGTTTTCCAGGTCCTAGTTTTGCAAAAGACGCATTCAAGGGCTATATTCTATCATGTGGTTCCGTCTCCACATCCGATTGTGCGTTGTTTTTACTGTTGAATGGTATTTAACTACCAAAGAGCAGGGAAACAATTAGTGAGCCAGAGGGCAGAATATTGCATTGCTGACATGCAACAAGTAGGTCCGGGGAACTCGTCCAGAGAGGCTGCCAGGTCCTTTCCCAGGGTGTTCTCCATTATATTTTTGCTTTTTTCTTCTGTGGAGGGTCATGCAGCAACTAGGGGTCCGTAACTGAACGCCACTACCCACGATATGGAACTGTGGGGTCTGCCCTTAATCCTAACCTTCGTTTGAAGGTTTCGGTACCGTACAACGAAGACACATCCGGTGGGTCGAATATGAGATTGTAGGTGTAAAACGACTAGACAGTCACCTGACAAAAAGCAAAAGAAACTGTGGAACATTCTCTTAATAAGGCTACTCGTTTTCTAGTTGATTTTCACGAACATTCGTCTGTATTCATTCATTTGGCAAAAAGACTGCGCGAAAGAGAAGTTCGGTGGAGAAATGGCGAGAGAGTATACGGATGAGCGAGAACGCACCACTAAGCAGTACTGTTGTAGACATAGGGTCAGTGGGCGGAGACTTGTATGCGTCACAGCCTCTGGCACTTCTGTTTCCCTTCTCGCTTTTGAGTTGCCAAAGTGGTACACCTATACAGTTGCTGTTCTGCGCACCTTAAACACGGAAATGATTCCATCTGCTGTGAAATGTACCTTAGAAAAGCGCCCGATGGAGGGGCCGGGAGGTTATTGCCAACGTTATTGGTGGAACAACTGAGTAGGGTGTGGTCAAACGCCTTCTCGCAGCCCTTCCACCAATGACGTATGCGCTACCCCCAGCCATCGTGCCCACAGGGTACAGCATCGTTGTATGAACACGTAGGGGGGG